TAGGATTGGCCGGAGTCCCCAGCCTGCAATCCTCAGTGACTCTGAGCTCCTCTTTCAGGGGTGGGGCTCCGTGGACAGCGCAGGATCTGCCATGGTATGTGGGTAAACAGGCGCAGCCCTCCACAGTTCAGTGAGAAAATGAAGTGCCTACAGGCATGTTTTGCAGTAGCCCCGCCTGGTGGAGTTTCTTGCTGGCTCAAGAAATCAACACAGAGGCAAAAGCTGGCACGCTGGCCCTGCCCCCTTCCCCTGCTCTGCCCACCACCCTGGGAGGACCCAGGTGCCCCGACACACCTCTCACACCCTTCCCGGCTCTGCTCTCCTGCTCATTTTCATATTTCCTTGGTCCCCAGACTCTCACTGCCTTGCCATATTCTGCACACCCTCCAAGCCTCTTCCACGTTCCCACTGACTTCAAAGATGGTGGGGTAGGTACCGGGAGGCCCCCTGGCTTGAGAAGTTGAAGCCTGGATCCTTACCCCGCTCTGTGACTTTGGGCAAATTGCTTGACCTCTCTGAGCCTCAGTTTCCTTGGGTCTCAAGCAGAATGGGTGTGATGAGGGGTGAAGGAGATTATGAACGTGAAGCCCCAAGTACAGTGCTAGACACAGAGGCGGTCCCAAAACGGAGCAGGGGCGACGTGAGTGGTAAATGCCCTTCACCCCCAACTCCAGCTCCTTGAAAGCCAGGCTGACCTACGGGCCTCTGGACCCTCCCCGCCGCCGCACCTGCTGAGCTCCTGGGGTCCGTCAGCCACGGCAAGAGGGCTCATATCGCGTTGAAACAAAGATAATGGCAGAAACGAAGGCCCATGGGCTCAGCTCTGGGGGACGGGGGGGAGGCGTCAGGGACCCAGAGGTGGCACTGGGGGCCCTTCCCGGGACAGGGCAGCCCTGCCAGGACCCTGACCCAACACCAGGCCGACTTACCCACTGGGCAGAACAGACACAAGGCCGTCTAAATGTTTTAATTCCTCTTAAAATCAGGAGTGGAGTGGGAATCCATTTTAGGGCACAAGCAAATCTCACTTCAGAAAAAATAAAATGTTTAAAGCCCATGAAACTTTATTATGCTGGAAACAGCCTGCAAAAGCCACACCGCAGCCCTGACCACGTCTTCATTCATTCAACCGCATATCCTGGGCAGGGTACTTCCTGTTGGTTCTTATTTGATCCTTATGATCTTGTCTGGTGGCACACACGTCATTTTTCTCCCTGAGATGAGGAAGGTAAGTCTCCTGGAGGGTAAAGATGTTGCCCACAACTTAGATGTGACAGAGGTGGGATTTGAATGCAGGTCCACCTGAGTCCAAATGCTTTTCTTCCCTAGACCACACCCTTTGCAAGTTCATCATCTTATTTGATTTATAGCATAATGGTGGGATAATCAGTCCCATGTTGGTTGGTTTGTTTTTTTTTTCAGCTGCACCATTCAGCTTATGGGGTCTTAGTTCCCTAATCAGGGATCAAACCCACACCCTGGGCAGTGAAAGTGTGGAGTCCTCACCACTGGACTGCCAGGGAATTTTCAACCCCATTTTATTTTCTAAGGTGTTTTTTTTAAATGTGGATCATTTTTAAAATGTTTATTGAACGTGTTACAATATTGCTTCTGTTTTATGTTCTGTTTTTTTGGCCACAAGGCATGAGGGATCTTAGCTTCTCTACCAGGGATCCAACCCACATCCCCTTGCATTGGAAGGTGGCCTGAACCACTGAACCGCCAGAGGAGTCATCCGACCCCATGAGAAAGCAGAGGAAACTGAGGAGAAGGGGACCCCTTGGTGCCCGGGTCCTTTCCTCGTAGTCAGTGAGGGTGGGGAACCAGCCCCTCCTCCTGCGCCCCTCCCTATGGCCCGGTCCGGCCCAAAGCCCTTTCCTGCACCCCCCCACGGTGCCCAGCCTCTGCCCTCACTGCGGGCACCCTGTCCAAGTGGCTCACCTGCCCTCCTTCCCGCCTCCCCCCCACAGAGGAGCTGCCCACATCCCACCTCCTAGCAAAGCCGCCACCTGAGAGGGAGGGAGAGGAGAACGCAAAGGTTCAGATGCAAACCTGGGGCCCCAGACAAACGCCCCTCTGTATCTCGGCAGTGGAGACTGGCTGCGGGCCAGCACTCCCTGCTGGCGGGCGGCTTGAATGGCCGGGATTGTTCCCGCACCTCCTGTCCCTGTCTGCTGCCCAGCGCCTGCCAGGCTCCCCCCACACGGACAGGAAAGGGGAGGGCCATTCCTTCTGGAATGGAAGGTGTGGGAGGCAGGCGAGCCTTGGGGAGGGTGGGGGGTGGGTGATGTGTCCTGAACCAAACTGGGGAGGCGGCAGAGTCACAGGAGGGAGGGAGCGTGAGAGGGAGGTCACCGTCCCAGCCCGCGCCCTTTGCAGGGGAACAGACTGAGGCGCAGACAGGACAGGTGACTTGCCCAAGGTCACACAGCGCGGCAGTAACAGAGGTAAGACTCGAACCCTGGACTCCTAACTTCCAGCCCGGGGCCCCTGGCCTCCCACCTCAGGCCTCACGGTTGGGGTTTGGGTGCTGAGCCTGCTGAACCGGTGAGGTCGTGAGCGCCACAGCCTGGGACTTTGAGACGCGAAGGAAGAGTGTCACGTAACAGGCTCCACAGCACTAGGTTCCTCTAGCTCTGTAGTCAAGTGCAGATGCTGCAGACAGAGTTCATCCTCGACTCCTTCATCACAAAGACTCGAAGGTTGGCCAAGCCCTTGCCAGAGGTGGAGGAGAGACCGAGAATCAAAGGGAGACCGCTGGAAAGTCAACATCAGGGGTAACCTCAGATTATTGGCTCTTGTAGGACGGCACTGGCCTGGGTTCTTAAATCAGAAGCAGCTAGCTGGGGGCACTGGGGGTCAAGGCGCCTGGTTCTGAAGAGACTTGGGTTTGGTTTCTTCTCTGCACTCCCAAGCCCAGTGTTTTTTTTCCTTCGGAGGTTCAGAGTGGCCTGCCCACGGTAGACACAGCTCAGTTACACCTGTGTTCTTGCTTCAGCAGGCGGCAGTGAGAAGTAACTCAGAAGCCTCAGTTGGTGTGTTTTAGAGACGTAGCACAGCTTCCAGGCAGGGTGGTTGAAAGCAACGCCGCGGGGGGAACACTGGGCCAGGCGGGACCTCATTGCGCTCACCGGCCGGGGCTCCTTTGGGTTGTCTTTGGCTCTTGCTATTCTTGTTACTGACCTTGTCTTGGGTGAATCAGAAAGGCGTTCTGGAAAAAGTACCCAGTGAACGACCAACGCGCCCTCCTGTCCGTGTGCCCCGGGCACCTCGCTGGCCCCCAGCTTTCCCATTTGTAAGGAGAGTTTTCAGAGTGGCTTGCACCAAACCAGTGATCACAGGAGCTGCCTCCTAGGATCACCGCAGAGGGTGTGGGGACCAGGGAAAGAAACCTCGTGGGGAGACGAGTGGAAGGGAGGAGGCTTTTGGAGGCACTGAATTTTCCATCATAAGTTCATCCCACAAACTCTCCAGCAAAAGAGTGGATCTCCTTTCACTCTGGACAAACACACAGAAAACTGACCAGTTTCACTTTTTTCTTGGCTGGCAGAATTCTCGTGCACCTCCCTCCACCCGCTGGTCGGCCTGGCTGCCCACAGCATCACCCGGGCGCCCCCTGGTCCCTGGGTCCTTGGAGTGTCTCCTGCAGCTCCCTCCTCCGCTTTCACGGGGCAAATCCTCCAGGAAAAGGTGCATGGGGCAGGGTGGATTTTTGTGTGTGTGAAGCTTTTTGTGCCCCTAAATGTTGTTCTTCTACCCTTCCACTCCGTATTTACTTTGGCATCTGTCCACTTCTAGGCTGGAGATAATCTTCCCTTAGAATTTTGGAGAGTTAGCTCAGAGCTTCAGGACTGCTGCTGTCAAATCCACGGACATTCTGGTTTCATCTGAGTGTTGATCCTTTTCTGGATATTTGACCTTGTTTTTTTTTTTTTAATAATTGATAGATGTGTGGGACATTCTCTTTACGCCCCGTGTTCTGGGAGGTAATGATGACGAGCCCCGTTGTGCATCTTTTATATTCACTTTTCTGGTGAGTCCACCATCTTCTTATTCTGAAAATTCAGGTCATTCATTTCGGGGAAATTTCCAGGTATTCTTTGATAATTGATTCCCCTTGAGTTTTTTTCCACTTAATCACTTCTGGAATTCTTATCATTAGAATGTTGGACCTCCTGGAGTAATTTGTTTTTGCCTCTTTTCTCTCTCAGTCTTTTTTGGTTCCACTTTACGAGACATTTCCTCGACTGTCTTTGAATGCTTCTATTGAACTTTTACATTTCTTTTGTCATATTTTAAATTCCTAGCACTCTTTCTTAGAATATTCTTTTCTTATAGCATTCTGTTCTTGTTATATAAATATAGTATCTCATCTTTCCGAGGATGTTGAAGTTTTCTTCTGCCTTTGCATTGTCTCCGTTGGCATGGAAGGGATGGATTTGAGCTGCAAATTCCTCTTTCCAGCCCCATTTCATACCCTGGCTTTTGGTAGTATCAGCAGAATCTGGGGTTTCTTCTGTGCCTTCAGCTTTTGTTGGTTTCCCCAGTCTGCAGGTTTGAGCCTCAGTCTTTGCCAGGCTGCTCAGTCACACTTAGCCTTCAGCTTTTCCAACTTTCAAACCTGGACTGGACTCTCTCCAAAGTGGCTGTCATCTCTCCTTTCCCTTTTGACCTCATGGAGTCATATGTCCAAATTCCTTCACTGCCATTTGTGGGGGGTGGGGTGAGTTTCAAGAGGAAGCAGAGATGATTATATTCCATTTGCTCTGGTTAACCAGAATTCCCTCTTGCTTTTTTTTTTTTTTTGTCTGCATTGAGCTGCCTGCTGGATCTTAGTTCCCCCATCAGGGATGGAACCCATGTTCCCTGCAGTGGAAGTGCAAAGTCCTAACCACTGGACCACCAGAAAAGTCCCCCTCCTGCATTTTTTGAACAACAAAGATAGATCCTACAATTGTTTCTCCTAGGATGAAGCAAACCAGAGTTTGTCCTTCTTACCTGTTGTTTTCCTCTGGGCCCAGAGGAACCAGCTCTGAGTCCCTGCAGAGCCTGGAAGCTGCTGTGAGAAGTAGAAGGCTCTGCTGCCTGTCGGGAGATGGAATGCCCGGCTCGCCCACTCCATGTGAGTTCTCTATCCTGTGAAGAGACGGGTAGGCTCATGGAGGGGCCAGGACATCCTTGCAAACCACAGCTGGGCAGGGAGGGGGCTTATAAAACTAAAGACATTCTAAGCCCTTGGCAGGGAAGAGATTTGTCTGTTCAGGCAGGAACGGGCAGGGAAGGCTCGAGAGGATTGACTACAAACCTTTGGGTCTGACAGATTAGAGTCTGAATCCTATATATTAGCTCCCTTAACAGGGAGGAGATTTGAAAAGGAAAAATTGAGAATGAGACTTCCCTGGTGGGACTCCAATCTTCCACTGCAGCGGGCCCGGGTTTAGACCCTCGTCAGGGAACTAGATACCACATGAAACTAAGAGTTCACATGCTCCAACTCAAGACCCAGCATGCCGCGACAAAGATCAAAGGTCCTGAGTGCCACAACTAAGGCCTGGTGCGACCAACCAAATAAATAAAAAGAAAAGAAAAATTGAGAATGGTCACCAGTTAACTGGGCAAATTAATCCCACTGATGGGACCAAACTGGGCAAATAAATCCCACCAATGGGACCGAATCCTGGCAGGCACAGGCTAGAGCAGGGTGGGCCTTCAGGACAGGCCGAACTGCAAGTGTATCTGTAGTCAGGCTGGGAGTAGGCGCTGAGATGTGAACTCAGCTCATGCGGCAGGGGCAGGATCGGGCCTGCCCAGTTGCCTCTTGAGCCCGCTCCCCACGCCCCTGCCCTGCCTGCCCAGTGTCTCCCGGACCCCTTCTCTGCTCCTCTCCCGGCAGCTCTCCCGTACTGCCTCCCAATGTACCTCGTACCTGCTACTCCCTCGGCGTGTCTGCATCTCCCGCAGCACCTGGCCTGTGAGATGTGTCAATTCAGGCAGGACGGGGCTGAGGAAACAGGTGTGAATTGACTACAGACCTTGAAGTCCAACAGATATGGGTCCTGTCTATGAGGCTGAGTAATGGTCCCCCCAAAGATATCCGCATCCTGATCCCCAGGTGGCCAAAAAAAAAAAATTCATTAGCGTCCCCTTAAATTCCTTAGTTCCCCTAGTTTCCTTTCCTTCCTGATCAGAATGTTGGGGTTGAATTATCTTCCTCTGACATATTTGCATAGAGCCATCAACTCTTTACCCTTGTGCCTTTTTTCCCTTGGGGACAGTGGGACACCTGGAGATTTATATAGGAGCTCAGTTATATTTGAGGACCCTTGGAAGCTGGGCCCTTGGCTGGAGCCCAAAGACTGAGGGGTAAATGTACGGTGCAGGTCACATTCCGGCTCTCGGTCAGTCTCAACCAGGACGCCCACTGGTCTCCTCCTCCCACTGACTCCTGGCACACCCTATGCCTCCCATTTGGCACCAGGCATAAGTCTGCCTTGTGACCACTTTCGCCTGGGATTTCTATCTGTAACTTTGGACATGAAAATTAGACTTGCAGGTCTTGGGTGGGAAGCTCCTTGAAGCATCTTTTCTATACAATGTGGGCCACAAAAATCAGAAACACAGGATGTTCAAGCCTGAATTTGACAGGTGGGTAAATAAAACTTAATAGATGTGGTAGACCTGGAACCCAGACTTCCAGATCCACAGGCCACTGCCTTTTCCAAAGGACTTCAATATGATGTTAATCAGCCACCTCTCTGTGATCAAGGCTGGGCCAGGCATGAGGGGGATGATCCCCACTAACTGCTGATAGAAGGAGATTTTCTTAAAAGAAATAGTTTTATCCTCTTTGTCTGAGCTGTAGAGACATGATCCCCGTGGCCCCTCTTTGAGTCATCTCAGAGCTGTGTTCATGGTGGGTGCTTGTTGAATGAATGACGGAAAGTGGACAGAACAGGTGGGAGAGTGACTGTGTGCACAGTGGGTGGTGGATGCGTGGATGGGAGGATGGAAGAGTAGATGGATACATGGAACAAGAAATGGGCTTCCTAATTTCTAAGAGCCAACTGCAAGGAACGTAGTCAGTATGTAATTTGGCGGGGGGAGGGGGGACTAAGCTCCAGGTAGTATGATGCCAACTCAGCCCCCACCTTCTGGGGCTCTGACACATGAGGGGACAGAACCAAGTACAGGCAGAGCGATTAGAGCCGGGGGAGATGACATGGGACCCAACAGGAATGGAGGGTGTAGGCGGGAGCCGGTCTGGATTCAGGCAGACTGGGATCACCATGTACTCAACAGAGCTTTTGGAGGTTCAAACCCCTCTGTAGAGTTCTCCCTGTTTTATTCCAGTCTCAACTACCTTCCAGGAAGGATACCTGCCTTCCATCCTGAATTGTACACACCGTCTTCCCTCATCCAATATCCCCCGAGTGGATAGCTACAAAGAAAGATGAGCTTTTGGAAGACACAGGGTCTTGAGATCAGCTATGAATGGCTGGTCCATACCCTAGAACCACAGGTGGAAAGGCCTTTAGAGATCATCTCCAAACTAGGCCATTTTGCAGGTGGGAAAATCAAGGTCTAGGGAAGACGATGACTTTCCAAAGTCTATAGCAAGTGAGTAACAAAAGGAAACCCATGTCTCCTGAGTCTCACCCCAGGTTAAGAATTCTTTAATGCTTTTTCCCTGCACACCCAGCAGCCCCCAGGTCCTGCCAGTCCCGTTAGGACTTTTGCCTGCTTGGGGTTGGCTTCACTCTTTCCTCTGTCTCTGCCCTCGGTGGAGATGGAGGAGAAGGTCAAAGTTCTGGATGTTCTGATGAGTCTCTCCTCAGATCCCCTTCTTGGGATATCAGCCTTCACAGTCTGGCTCCCTGAATGCTTTGTTCATACTTGAGCTCGACCAAGCACAGCAGACACTTGATCAGGTGGAGAACTGGGGGCTCCAAGAAGAGTAGGGGGAACATCGACTTGGGGGGGGGGAACAGGAGAGAAAAGAGAAAAGGAGCTAGGATGAACATTCACTGATCACCCACCAGCCAGCAGGCACTTTGTTCATTGTTCAGGTGCTCGGTTGTGTCTGAGTCTTTGCAACCCCATGGACTGCAGCATACCAGGTTTCCCTGTCCTTCACTGTCTCCTGGAGTTTGCTCAAACTCATGTCCGTAGAGTCAGCAATGCCATCCAACCAACTCATCCTCTGTCTCCCCCTTCTCCTCCTGCAGGCACTGTGCTGGGCAGTTATAACATCTCATTTATTCTCAGAACCCCACAAGATAGGGAACGTTTTATAAATGAGACTGTTTTTCCTGTTTATAAATGAGACCACTGAGGCCTAGAGAGGTGGCTTGCAGAGCTGGTCAGCAGGGATCCCAAGATTAAAGCCCAAGACTTCCTGACCCCAAAGCCCCTGCCAGGTCCCGAGCTTCCAGACCATGTGCTTTGTCACAGTAACATCAAGAGTTCTTGCAGCACCAGCAGGAGCTGGAGTTTCTCTCCTAAGGACCCAATCAACAAGGTCAAGGCTAACAGGAATCAGTGCAAAGTCCTGCATGCAAGTTCAAAAAGACAGCTGCACAAGAGTGTCCTGGGGGTCTGGTTACTAGACCACAGCCCATCATAATATCGTCACCATGCGTAATACAGCTATCATTGCCTTCTAGTTCCAAAGGACTCTGAGTGTAGAAAGTCCTTTCATGTACTGATCGTAGGGCTTTGACTGACCATAAACAAACACAAGATAAGTCAGGAAAAGGCATCTCAAAAGGGTGTGTGGAGCAGTGGGCTGTAGCTGCTTGAAAAGCTGGTAAGCTATTTGTTTGCATTAATCCAGTGTAATATCAATAGGTTTTGTGCCCAGTCCCTGTGCTAAATGTATCACATGTTTTATCTCATTTAATTCTTACATGACCCTGTGGAGTCTATAATTCTTGCTTTACGGATCAGAAAACTAAGAAGTGAAGAAAGTTGACCAAGGTCACGCAGCTAGTAAATAACTGAATTCAAGCTCAGGTCTGATCATTGTCAAGAAAAATGTCATTCTGGACAGTTCAGGTCCCCTTTGGAGTGAAGCATATGGTTTGGGGTATTTTATTTAAGGAAGATACTGACACATAAAGAAACGAGGAACCTATTCATGAGGGATACTAAAGATTGTTTGAAGAAGCGGAGAATATTTATCCTGGAGAATAAAATCATCAGAGAACATATAGTTGCTGTTTTCAGGGGCAGAAAGCATCTCTACTTAGAAACATGTTGGATTCACAGGACATTTGCATGTGCTCAGTCATGTCTAAGACTTTGCAACCCTGTGGACTGTAAGTCACCGGGTTCCTCTGTCCATGGAATTTTCCAGGCAACAGTACTGGAGCAGGTAGCCATTTCCTATGCCAGGGGATCTATCAAACCCAGGGACTGAACCGCCCGTCCTGCATCGGCAGGCGCGTCTTCACCACTGGGCCACCTGGGAAGCCACCTGACAGGACATTTACCAACCATTTGTTGGTTACGTTCCAAGGGACATACTATAGTGAAAGAAAGAAAGTGAAGTCGCTCAGTCGTGTCCGACTCTTTGCGACCCCATGGACTGTAGCCTACCAGGATCCTCAGTCCATGGGATTTTCCAGGCAAGAATACTGGAGTGGGTTGCCATTTCCTTCTCCAGGGGATCTTCCCGACCCAGGGATCAAACCCGGGTCTCCCACATTGTAGGCAGACGCTTTGCCGTCTGACTCACCAAGGAAGTTCAAAGGGACGTACTATAGCCGACTGCTGTTGCCACCTACTGGTAGAAGGTAAAAATGACATGCTGATTTCGGCCACCATCACTGTTCCATTCATAGAACCTTAACTTTTTGTACGTGGAAGGGCTTTTAAAAAGGTCCATTGTCGTGTGTAAGAGGTAATGGGTTGCCTCTGTGGGAAGAGAATTAGGACCAATGGGTTAAAATCACAAGGGAAGAGATTTTGGTCCCAAAATGAAAGTTACTTTTCTGACAATTAAACCATCCCACTAACCTAAGGGACAGCTTGGGAGTAGTTAGGTTTTTGTCTGTGGAAGAAACCAAGTCATGCTAAATCTCCCCTCTCTCAGATGAATGAGAGAAATCAATCCAGTGTCTTGGCAGGTCTCAGGCATTCATGGCTTCCCTATTCTGAGTTATAGTTGGCCATTTGGGTAGGGGTCTGCCAGGCTTGATAGCATCTGGGTTTTCTTATCCAGGGAGGAACATCTAGGCTAGGTCAGAGAGAAGAAGGATACTGTGGGGGCAGAGCAGAAGGAAGGGGGATATTCTGGACAGGTGGCAACATTGATCCTCCAGTTATGACCTTATGGACTTCCCTGGTGCCTTAGACAGTAAGGCATGTGCCTAAAATGTGGGAGACCCAGGTTCAGTCCCTGGGTCGGGAAGATCTCCTGGAGAAGGAAATGGCAACCCACTCCAGTATTCTTGCCTGGAAAATCCCATGGATGGAGAAGCCTGGTGGGCTACAGTCCATGGGGTCACAAAGAGTCAGACACGCCTGAGAGACTTTACTCACTATGACCTTATACTTGACCAAGGAACAGAGAAGGATGGTTCAGCGAGTCAATGGTCATTACTCTCCATCTCTTCCCAGAATGACCTCCCACATGAGGCCATTTGTAAACAACCCAAGGAAACAACAGCTCCTTGTAGATTCTGTAAAGGTGATTAAGACTCTGCTGGAGACAGAGGTTCAGAGTATAGGCAAGGTCAGGGACCAGTCTGGGTCAGGGTTAGATGAAGAGCTCTGGCCTCTCTTCTGCAGCCTGTGAGGGTCTTCTCATCAAAGCCCTACACTGATTTGGCCCCCAGATGCTGGCCACTGCACCTTGTGCATTCTCTGGGGAGCAGTCTAGTGAGAGTTTATGGAGAAGGGGCTGTGAAATTAGACAAACCCTAGCTTGAATCCTAGCATAGCTACATATTAGCCCTGTGAAGTTAGATTGATATCTTCCCTGATCTGGGTCTCAGTTTCCCCATCTGTAGAATGGGCACAGTGACTGTATTCTCCTAATCAGACAGATATGAGGATTCAATGAGACCTCTCACATAAATCACTGAGTACAGTGCCTGGGGCACATGGTATATTACTATTATTATTATTATTATTATTAAATTAACCTCTGTCCATGAAGATCAGCCTCACCTCCCTGTACACTCCCCCATTTTCTGTGGCCTTGGGCCCTGGTCATGGACATATTTGACACTGACTTCTCCCTGCTGGACCTCACTTGGTTAATAAGAATCACAGGGGCCCGACACATGAAAACACCCACACCCTTGGCTATCAACGCTCCACCACCCTCCCTCCCACCTTCTCTATGTGGTCGGAACAGAGATGTAATTGAGAGCCCTTGGCCCTTAGATGAGGCAAAATATGCTCTGGGATTGCTCACTCTTCTCTCAGAAAGAGGAGCAGCCGGGCCCATCTGAAAGGGAGTCCCTCCTGGAACCTGGCACCCAGGAGGTCACCGTGAAGGACCTGCGGAGGAGCCTGTGCCCTGGGGGCCCTAGACGGCTCCGTTACTGGTCAGTATGTATCTGTGTGCATGTGTGCGTGTTCCTGTAGTGACTGGTCTTGAGCCCCCATCCCCACCCCGGGTGTGTACCAGGGGCAGGTGATGCGGAGGGAAGGATACAGGCTTTGAAGTTTGCGGTCCTGGGTTCATTTGCCAAGCCTGCAGTATTGAGGCCATATGGAAAGTCTCAGAGTCCTCATTTGAAACAAGGGGAAAGGAAGACCTATTGTACATGGCATTTGCTAATTAAATCAGAGGATGGATAAAAAATATCTGGCACAAGGTCTTTGCACATGGTGGACACTCAGATGATGGCTTCAGTCAATTCTGTGCTTGTTGGTTTAACGGGGAATGAGTCAATGATAGAGTTTAGTTTATCTAGTAATTATGCCATGTCTCTCTCCTTAGGTGACCTTTGGTCAATGGCCACCTATTTGCCTCTTTTTTCTATTTTTCAAAGTAATTGTGGGTAACTCCCTAGCGGTCTAGTGGTTAGGACTCGGTGCTTTCACTGCCACAGGCCTGGGTTCAATCCCTGATTGGGGAACTTAGATCCTGCAAGCCACAAGGTGCAGCCAAAAAAAAAAAGGAATTGTGAGAAAGCATTACTGGTGAGTGTGCTCAGCTTGATATTGGTGGAGACAGAAGCAGAGAGTTTAGGCAAACGCATATTAAAAGTCTTTATGTGCCAAGATAGGGAGTGTGTGTTATGGGAGGGAACCTCTCCCTGGGAGTAGGAGTTGGGGGTGGATGGTTGGGGAAGACTTTTATGCCATGTTCTCTTATTGGTCCATACTTATTTTTATAGAAAGAATTTTTTTTTTTCCTGTTTTGAGCTCCTGTCTCTAATTAGTTCAGCAAATACTAATACTTGCTAAAAATCCTAAGAGATACCCTTTATTGAGCACTTAAAAGCACTTTTCATACTTAACCTTGAACCCTCAGTTCCCTTGGGAAAAGCTGCCTCCTTTTACAAACAGCAAACCCAGCTGGGAGAAGTTCAACCACTCACCCAGGTCCTTCCACCCACAAAGGTGAGGAGAGCCAGACTCTTTTATCTGAAGGAGGCAGAAAGATGTGGGGGAAAAGCCAAAAGCGGTCTCTAACTCAAGGGCCTGACAATGAGGGCGGAAACTTGGCTGCCAGACACAGAAGAGAGCCACCGGCCGTGGCGGCGCGTCTTTGCCGAGCCGCTGAGGCAGAGCAGAGGGCAGGAGGGTTGATTCTGTCTGGCGGGGAGTCTTCCTGGAGGTGACCAGGCTGAGCCTGGAAGGTTCCTTTCGGAGGGGGAGTGGGCAGCGGAGCGTGGCTGGCAACCCAGGCCTATTTAAGGTGGTCGGGAGACAGGAAGCCCAGCCAGGCGGAAAGGTTGGCCGGTGTGGGGACGTCAAAGGGGTCCTTCAGAGAGCCTGAATCACCCAAGCCCTGAGGGTCTGGTTCAGGGGAGGAAGGGACAGACAACGCGGGGCTTGGGCCTGTGACTAAGCCTGGACTTCAAGGCTTAAAGGAGGGCAGAGACGGTGAAGGCAGAGCCCATCCTGTGGATCCGCAGACCCGGCCACCCGGGGTCATTCTGAGGTTGAGAATGGGAGCGCTGGCCGGGAACAGGTCGGAGTCTCCAGAGCCACCAGCCTGGCTGCAGGTGACCCCGATGGAGGGGTGCTGGCCCCTGTTTCCATCACAAGCTGGCAGAGGTAGGGGACCTGGAGGGGGCCAAAGCCTGGGGCCGCAGCTCAGAGACAGCAAAGACTGGGAGTGATGTGGGAGGACGGAGTGGCCCATTGTCCCAGCGATCTGACAGAGGTTGATGTGGGGAGCCAGGAGGCTGGAAAGGAGGTTGGAAGCAGCCAGTGACGGGCTTTCACTGCCAGACATTCAGGTGTGGGTGCCCAGGAGATGACTCGTTTTTGAGCCCGGGAATGCCATGATCAAACCTAGGGTCTCACTCTCAGCAGAATGCGAGCTTCTGAAGGCCAGGAGTTGTTGGCCTTTGGGCCGAGTTCCCCATCTCCCTAACTGGGGGACCGTGGTTGAGTCACTCAACCACATCGAGCCTCAGTTTCCCAGCAGCAAAACGCAGTGATTGAGAGCGCTGAATGAGCTGACACGTCACGTGTGAGGGCACCTGCAGCGGCCTTGTGCGAAGAAGACGCTCCCTCTGCTTGGAGGGCTTTGGGCAACTTCAGCCGCGCTCTCTCGCCTCTCACCCCACCCCCAGCCCAAACCACGCCCATCCTTCAAGGCCCATTCAGATTAATCTTCTTGAACTCACTCTTCACAACCCAATACCTCATCTCACTGACTGCTTAATAATAGTGTTTTTAGCTGCTTTCCCCCCATCTTAAAATTGTAAGGATTTTGAAACCAGGAACAGAATATCAGGCGGTGTAGGGTGCCCAAAGTCTCACTAACATGGGAAATAGAGCCCTGTGTAAACTTAGGGCTCCATGTGGTATTGGGGGCTTCCGTTTCATCAGTAAAATGGCAACAATAACCTTCCTCACACATTTTCCAGAAGATCAATTTAGATACTTGGTGTGAAACATAGTTAGGAGGAGTTGAATAAATATTGTTGAATGAATTGAAACTGATTTGAAAAATGGAAATCTTTAAAAATGTCAAACCTTATTTTTAACTCCCCATTGTTCAAGTTGTTCAATTGCTAAGTTGTGTCCAACTCTTTGCAACCCCATGGGCTGCAGAACACCAGCCTTCACTGTCACCCACTATCTCCTGGAGTTTGCTCAGGTTCAGCTCCATTGAATCAGTGTTGCTATCCAACCATCTCATCCTCTTGCGGCTTCTTCTCTTTTTGCCTTCAATCTTTCCCAGCATCAGCGTCTTTTCCAATGAGTTGGAGCTCCAATAGTATATGGTAAAAGGCCTGATGTTTACTTGCTGCAAAGAGAAACTTGCCAACAAAGGTCCGTCTAGTCAAGGCTATGGTTTTTCCAGTAGTCATGTATGGATGTGAGAGTTGGACTATAAAGAAAGCTGAGCACAGAAGAATTGATGCTTTTGAACTGTGGTTGTCGGAGAAGACTCTTGAGAGTCCCTTGGACTGCAAGGAGATCCAACCAGTCCATCCTAAAGGAAATTAGTCCTGAATATTCACTGGAAGGACTGATGCTAAAGCTGAAACTCCAATACTTTGGCCACCTGATGGCATAGAGCTGACTCATTTGAAAAGACCCTGATGCTGGGAAAGATTGAAGGTGGGAGGAGAAGGGGACGACAGAGGATGAGATGGTTGAATGGCATCACCAACTGAATGGGCATGAGCTTGAGTAAACTTCAGGAGTTGGTGAAGGACAGGGAAGCCTGGCATGCTGCAGTCCATGGGGTCGCAAAGAGTCAGACATGACTGAGCAACTGAACTGAACTGACTGAAGAGAAACTGTATGCTTTAATATTTTCTCCAGTCACCCAGATGAAGACCAAAAGAGGCATCATACAGAGATTATAAAATGACTGGTTTTAACCAAAATTTCATCTTCCTTCTCAGCACGCCGAGATGACCACAGCCACCCCTTTGGGGGGTAACGCCGTCTACTCACTGAACGTGACCACCAGAGAAGACTTTCTGTACAAGAGTAAGATCAGCTTGGCTTGGCGGCCAGGGGATCGAGGGTGGGACAGGTTTGCCTTCAGCTCCTGGTGTCAAGGTCAAGAGCATGTCCTCTGCAGACAAAGTGCGTGGGTCTCGATGATGCCATTTGCACCTGCATGAACCTGAGCGCGTGACTTCACTGCTCTGGGCTTGTTTCAGCATCTGTGTTGTTGTTGTTTAGTTGCTGAGTCGTGTCTGACTCTTTTGGGACCCCATGGACCGTAGCCTGCCAGGCTCCTCTGTCCAGGGGATTTCCCAGGGAAGAATACTGCAGTGGGTTGCCATTTCCTTCCCCAGGGAATCTTCCTGACCCAAGGATCAAACCCGAGGCTTCTGCATTGGCAGGCAGATTCTGTACCACTGAGCCCCCAGGGAAGCCCTCCTTGTCTGTACAATGGGAGGATTAATGATCTGCCACATAGGTAGGTGTGAGGGCTACAAGTGATAATCCACTTGAAGAACTTAGAATAGCCTCCATGCCTGTGAAACATGATGATTAGTCACTGAGTTGTGGCCTGATGGACTGTAACTTACCAGGTTCCTCTGTCCGTGGGATTCTCCAGGCAAGAATCCTGGAGTGGGTTGCCATGCCCTCCTCCAGGGGATCCTCACAGCCCAGGGATTGAACCGACATCTCTTTCATCTCCTGCATTGGGAGGCGGGTTCTTTACCATTAGCGCCACCAGGGAAGCTCCCCTCCCCCATTTGGTACATACCTTTGCAAATGGAACAGGCCTCCCAACACACATGGAGCAGTGATGAGCAGTGATAATTGGCTCCAGACTGTGGTACTGGCAGGAAGCTAGATTCATGGCAGGATGTGTCTCTTACATGGAGACCCACTCTTGCGACGGGGTCTCACATATTAGCCTGCTCTTTGCTGGGTGTAGAGACCTACAGAGGCCTGCTGAGGAGTGTCTCAAAACAGTTCTAAAGGGAAATGCAAAGCAGATAGAATTAGTGTCAGCAAGGTGGGACTAATAATATCAACCAGGCAATTTTGGCCCCTAAATAGGATTGCCAGATTGAGCAAATAAAAGAACAGATTACCAATTAAATTTGAATATAAGATAAACAATTGATAGATTTTTAGAATAAAGGATATATGTAATATTTCAGACATATTTTGAAATTTGTCATTATTTATCAGATATTCTAATATACTTGGGTATCCTATATTATATCTGGCAACCCTACCACCGGAGATATTTGGCAATGCCTGAAGATGTTTTTGGTTATCCCATCTGGGGGTGTGTGGGGAGAAGTGCTCCTGGCATCTAGTGAGTATAAGCCAGGAATGCTGTTGAACACCCTTCAGTACATAGGACAGCCCCAATGACAAGGAATCATCTGGCCACTGGTTGAAAACCCCACTGGACTCCCCAGGAAGGACAGGAAAGCAAGTTACTCCATGATGGATTTCCCACCCCCTCCATTTGTCCCTCCCAATCTTTCTTCCTATGAAGAATTGCGCAGGTCTTTTTTTTTTAAGTAAACTACTTTTTGGCCATGCTGTGGGAGGCATGTGGGATCCTAATTCCTTGACCAGGGATCAAACCTGTGCCCCCTGCAGTGGAAGCGCAGAGTCTTAATCACTAGACTTTCAGGAGGAAAGTCCAAAAGTAGGCTTTTTATAAAAGCATTACATACATGCAAAAAATTGCACAAATGATAAGTGCACAGCTGGATGAATTTTCAGAGTGCACACAGCTGTGTGACCAGCACCCAGATGAAGGAGCAGACCACCATCGGTATTCCAGAATTTCCAGTGCTCCTTGCAGTCATTAGCCCATGCCCACTCAAAGGAACCCACTCTTCTGATTTCTACCACCATAGATTAATTCTACCCTGGTTTTGAACTTTGTATACATGGAATCATGTATCTGTATCTTTTGTATCTGACTTCTTTTGCTTAATGTTATGTTTGTATATACATATTTTAATGGTTGCAATATGTATATGTGGTTATGTGTATAGTATCATATTCTATTTTCCTCTTTTACATCATTGTAAGTGTTCCATGTACCAGAATCTTCATAATCATTATTTTAATTATTGTATAATACTTCAAGGTATAAGTATACCATATCTTTTTTAACCTTTTCCATATTTAGAATATTTATAATGTAATAAGCATTTTCATTTATACAGCTTTATCTTTATTGGGGATTATTGCCTATGATCAATTATCCAGAATCAAATAGATTGGTTTAAAGTGTGAACCTTTTTTATGATTCTTGATACTTTCAATATCAATTCTGGCAAGGATATTCATCTTGAACCTAAAATTAGAAATTGACATTAGGACTGGGCGCTGATATTGAAAGTAGAATCTGAGATATTAAGCTACAAGGACATTCATTATAGCCTTGTTTTTAATAGTGTAAAACTGAATGCAACATAAATATCCTCAATAAAGAACTGGCAAATAACTTATGGCCAGCCAAACAATGGAGTACTATACAACCTTCAAAAGTCATGAAGAAAACTATATACCTATACAGCAATATGATCAGGATATTTTGTTGTAAACAGTTTATGGAACATGGTTCCATTTTTATCAAATGCATATTTTTCCATATTTATGAATATTTTCTTAAGATAGATTTTCAGATAGGATTATTAAATTATTCAAAAGATTGTGGATATTTAATATGTACATATGCAAAAATATGATCACATTGGTGAATGTATACATATGTAGACTCTCAGTGGTTCTTGGGGCAATGAGGTCTTAGCCTCCCCTCCTTTTTGGCTTGTATTTATATTACCAAAATTATCTACAGAGGCTTCTCTGGAAGTCTAGTGGTTAAGACTTCACACTTTGAATGCAGAAAAAAACATGGGTTCAATCCCTGGCCAGGGAACTAAGATCCTACATGCCATATGGCACAGCTAAAATACACATATAAATCTACAAAAATTACATATTACTTTTATATGATCAAAAAGAAGCAAGGATGTTTTGTTTCATGAAAGAAGTTTGGAGTTATGTTGGGGATGATAGGAGCAGGACTGGACCTGCAGCAGAATTTTGGCAGGTAATGTGCTGAGGGCCCGCACACACACAGCAGGTAGCATTGCTCTGCTACCCTGGAGCGATTCTCTCCTGGGGTCAGCAGTGAGTGTTCCAGCAGTGAGTGTGGCTTTCACGCCTCTCCTAGACCCAGTGAGGATGCAGGGAGCCACTGTATGGGTCTTGCTCTCACCTTCCGAATCCTTCTTTGGATTTCAGTTTGCACACTAGCCCAGGCTTCCCCGGTGGTTCAGACTGTAAAGAATCTGCCTGCCATGCTGGACACCCAGGCTCGATCCTTGGGTCGGGAAGGTCGTCTGGAGAAAGGAATGGCTACCCACTCCAGTATTCCTGCCTGGAAATTCCCTGGCATGCTACAGCCCATGGGGTCACCAAGAGCGCACATGAGGGAGCAACTAACACGTTCTCTGCACATTGGCCATCTCCACTCCTGTCTTCCTTGTAGGTTCTGGAGCCATCGTTGCTGCCATTGTGGTGGTTGTCATCATCATCTTCACCGTGGTTCTGATCTTGCTGAAGATGTACAACAGGTACGGGATGCGCTGGGCTTTAGAACCATCTGGTCCCTTCAGTGATGCGAGAATGAATGGAAGCTCACGTTTGTAGTTGCCTGTTATCTGCACAGCAGTATCTTTGAGTCCATTTTCAAATGCTCTTACCTTTTGTGGGTCCTTTTTTGATGTTTATTCTACTGGAAGAATAAACTTGAGTGGTGGCTCAGACGGTAAAGCATCTGCCTGCAATATGGGAGACCCAGGTTCGATCCCTGGGTCAGGAATATCCCCTGGAGAAAGAAATGACAATCCACTCCAGTACTCTTGCCTGGAAAATTCCATGGATGGAGGAGCCTGGTAGACTACAGTCCATGGGGTTGCAAAGTAAGACACAACTGAGCAACCTCACTTTCACTTTCACTACTGGAAGAACTTCACAGTGGCCATAGATTTTTGTATTTAGAGAAGTATTTTCGATATACAGTAATGATAATGACAGTGGAAGTGTCTCTAAATAGACATTGTTCCAAAGAAAACACACAGGTGGCCACACTCAACATGACTGAATATTAGAGAAATGCAAATCAAAGCTATAATGAGGTCGAGTTACACATGTATCAGATATACTTAGGGTTGCCAGTTGGTAAGGAGGGAGGGATAAATTGGAAGGTTGGGATTGACATATAAATACTATTCTATATAAAATAGATAATCAATAAGAACCTACTGTATAGCATAGGGAACTCTGCTCAGTACTCTGTAATGCCCTATATGGGAAAAGAATCTAAAAAAAGAGTGGATATATGTATATATATATATAGCTGATTCACTTTGCTGTACAGCTAAAATTAACACAATATTGTAAGTCAACTATATTCCAATACAAATTTGAAAAAAAAAACCTATAATGAGGTATCACCTCATATTGATCAGAATAGCCATCATTAAAAAATCTGCAAATAATAAATGCTGGAGAGGGGGTGGAGAAAAGGGAACCCTCCTGCACTGTGGGTGGGAATGCCAGTGGTGCAGCCACTGTGGAGAACAATACGGAGGTTTCTTAAAAACCTTAAAATGAGGGCAACCACACGTGCACGCTAAGTTGCTTCAGTTGTGTCCAACTCTTTGCAACCCTGTGGACTATAGCCCACCAGGCTCCTCTGTCCATGGAATTCTCCAGGCAAGAATACTGGAGTGAGTTGCCATTTCCATCTGTTCAGTTGCTCAGTCATGTCCAACTCTTTGCAACCCCACGGACTACTGCACGCTAGGCTTCCCTTTCCACCACCAACTCCCGGAGCTTTCTTAAACTCATGTCCATTGAGTCAATGATGCTATCCAACCATCTCATCCTCTGTCATCCCTTTCTCCTTCTGCCTTCAATCTTTCCCAGCATCAGGGTCTTTTCCAGTGAGTCAGTTCTTCACATCAGGTGGCCAAATTATTGGAGTTTCAGCTTCAGCATCAGTCCTTCCAATGAGTATTCAGGGTTGGTTTTCATATGAACTAGCAGTTCCACTCCTGGGCATATATCCAGAGAAAAACCATACTTCAAAAAGATACATGCACCCCAGTGTTCATAGCAGCACTACTTAACAATAGCGAGACATGCAAACAACCTAAATGTCCATCAACAGATGAATGGATGAAGAAGATATGGTATGCATACAGACTGGAATACTCCTCCATGAAAAAGAATAAATAATGCCATTTGCAGCAACATGGATGCACCCAGAGGTTATCATACTAAGTGAAATAAGTCAGAAAAAGGCAAATATCATATGATATCATTTATATAAGGACTTCCCTGTAGCTCAAACAGAAAATGCCTGCAATGCAGGAGACCAGAGTTCGATCCCTGGGTCAGGAAGATCCTCTAGGGAAGGGAATGGCAATCCACTCCAGTATTCTTGCCTGGAGAATCCCATGGACAGAGGAGCCTGGCAGGCTACAGTCCATGGGGTTGCAAAGAGTTGGACACGACTGAACGACTAACACACACACATCATTTGCATATAGGACCTAAAATCTGATACAAATGAACTTATTTATAAAACAGAAACAGGGGCTTTCCCTAAGTGTGGCTAAGACACCACACTTCCAATGCAGGGTGTGCACTGGTCAGGGATTCTTTTTGGCAGTGTGGCCAAAAATGAAATAAGTAAATAAGATACAACTGAAACAGACTCGTAGACATAAAAAACAAACCTATGGTTGTCGAAGGGAAAAGGTGGGAGTCGGGGGAGAGGAATAAATTAGGAGTTTGGGGTTAGCAGATACTATATATAAAATAGATAAACAACAAGGTCCTACTGGATCGCACAGGAAATTATATGCAGTAGCAGTATCTGCAGTAATCTCCTCGCTGGAGCTGTGGTTACAGAGCCTGTTCCGCAGGGCACACAACAAGGAAGACTCAGCCCTGTGTGGGTATCTCATTACAGGAAAATGAGGACGAGGCGGGAGCTGGAACCCAAGGGCCCCAAGCCAGCTTCCCCTTCTGCCATGGGCGCAAACAGCAGTATCAGCCAACAGCCTGCAACGGTGACCTTCAGCCCTGTTGATATCCACGTGGAGGCTCGGTGACGCCCACGCTGGTGCTGGCTCAGCCACCAACCAAAGAGCCTTCAGTCAAGACCAAGAAGCACATTTCTCCTCTGGCAGCTTCACGACGAGTCCCTTCCAGTCAGGTTGACTGGGGCATCTCTTACTCAATCCCTTATGCTTCTGGTGATTCCCAACCCCATCCTGCCCAACCCCAGCCCAGCTTCATCCATATCCCTGCCGCCACCCTTCCTAAAAGCTCTGCTACGTTGGGAATCCCCTGATGTGGGTTTAGTCATCTCCCCTAAACACAACAGCTAGACAGACAGGTAGGCAGGCATGCAGATAGCCCAGGCGTCTTCTGGTTAGGAGTCAGGAGTCAGGGTGTGCTCCTGAGAGTCATGGGGTCTGCCTGGGGTCATATCAGAGGAAGGGCCCTATCCATAGCTTTGCAGCCGAAAATACTCGATCCCATAATCAGGCACAGGGGAACTAACTGGGACTCACTAACCAAAACTCAACTTGTTCATGTACAACTTGTTCTAGAACTAAATGAACACTAGCTAGCTTCTGACAACTGATCTGCACATTCCTCCATCTTTAAGAAAGGTTATAGAAAAAATTGAATTCTCCAAAAGTGTCTACATCTTTAGTAAAGAGTCAAAGTCAAGGACACAGGATGACCTTGGGAAGACATGGGAAGAGTGGCCTCTAGGATGAGAGCGTATTGCAGTGTCCACGGGCCAAGAATGCGCCTGGAGACTGCTTGACTCGGGCTCATTTCTTGGCTTCCCTCTATTTGGATTCTGAGCAGTCGTCACTCTCCAGTTACCACCTTACCTCCAAGGTCAGGTATTTGGAGACTGATTAGATTACAACTCTATTTATGTTACCGCTAGCCTTCCTGGTCACTTTACAAAGATTCTGGATATATTCAAAGTACCATATTCACAAACCATTCCCCTGGACAGAACTTATCTCTTTGACTCCTTAGCCTGGAGAACAGTTGAAAAAGGAAAGAATTTGGGATTAAAGTGATGTGTTTTTTAAGCCCCACTTCCTGTTTGTGAGACCTTGGGAGAGTGACTTGACTCCTCCCTATTCTGTTTCCTAACATGAAGTGGAATAATGTCTGCCCCACTGGATGACTATAACACGTCAAGCACCTAGTAAAGTAGCTCAGGTGGTGCCTGGCACCCAACAGATGCGCTCTAAATGGGAACCAGCATTATTATCATGAATTTCTTCCATTGCAAGACATATGCTTGTTCCCATTTTAATGATTCTGAAGTCAGAATATGTTTTAAAATTGATGGACCCATTAACAAAGTTGTATTTTTTTCCGTCTCAAAAAGCTGTTTTTTAACCAATTGTACATTTTATAATTGACAACATCTTGGAAACAAGGTAATAAATCTGTATTCTGTTACAGAAAGTGACACACTCTGATCTTTAATCTTATATTCTAGGAGTCTCTCCTTCTTGTAGTCAGATATCCCTTTCGAGGGAAAACTGAGGATCTTGGAGGTAGGAAGACTGACCCAGAGTTATACAGCTCCTGTCACCCCACTGTAAAAATGCTCACTTCAGATTGTCTGAAGAGGGACTTTCCTGGCAGTCCAGTGGTTAATACTTCACACTCCCAATGCCGGGGGCATAGGTTCAATCCCTGGTCAGAGAACTATGATCCCTGAGGGCCATGTGGCCAAACACACACACACAAACACACACACACACAAGAATATGTCTGGAAAAACACTGGCAAACTCTTTCTTCCCAGACATCTCTTCTCCATCCTGTGTTTAAATATCCACCAGACACTTTTCAAGGTGCTTTCATATAAGTTTTCTCCTGGGATTTGTCTTTCCCAGTTACCCTGGGAGATGCTATTTTTTCCATTTGCCATTGGGAATTTCAAACTCAAAGAGAAAAAGTATTTGCCAAAAGTCTCGCAGCTAGTAAGTTGCAAAGACAAGACTCAGATCCAGGTCTCTTTGACTCCAAGGTCCATCTTTATGTTGTATCATACTCTTCCCTAACACCCTGGCTCAAAGAATGTGAATTCTTCTGTGAGTTGAACAAGAGTAGGACAGGCTTATTCATGTGTCTGAGTGGAGGTCAGGGTCTAGCTTCCACAACAAAAGTGGGGTAAATTCACTTTGTTAGCTTCTTTGGGCTTCTGTAGCCAAGGGCGCCCTTTCCAAGTCCATCCAAGCTCTAAGGAGTCCTGCTTCATTCCCCATACCATTTAATCTCAAGGAGCAAGGCATGAGATGCCTCAAACCAGGGCAAAGCCATTTAAGGACTCAAGCACACATAGATATGTTTCCCAAAAGTATTTTGCTTTAAAAAAAAAAAAAAAAAAGTTTGACCATAAAGAAGGCTAAGCACCAAAGAACTGATTCTTTCGAACTGTGGTGTTGGAGAAGACTCTTGAGAGTCCCTTGGACATCAAGGAGATCAAACCAGTCAATCCAAACAAAATTAACCCTAAATATTCATTGGAAAGACTGATGCTAAAGCTGAAGCTCCAATACTTTGGCCACCTGATGCGAAGAACCGACTCATTGGAAAAGACCCTGATGCGGGGAAGATTGAAGGCAAGAGGAAACTGGGACCGCAGACAGTAAGATGGCTGGATGGCATCACTGACTCAATGGACAGGAATTTGAGCAAACTCCGGGAGATAGTCAGACACAACTTAGCAGCTGAACAACAAAAACTACTCAAAAACCAAACTCTTCTGCCCACAGTGGAATCTTCCAAGAAAGAAAAGCATATTCCTCTAGTATAAATGAAAGTTTGGAAATGGAAAAGGAGGGTAGAGAGGTGAGGGGGAGGCAAAGAAAAAAGGATTGTTGTGTTTGGTTTTCACTGATGACAATGAACTCAATAAACGTCCTTAGGGCTCCTGTGTGCCAGTTGAAGCGCTACTACACACAGTAAGCACGGTCTCTGCTCTCAGGGAGTCTGCAGCTGGCCTCCTGAGACAGGCATCTTGCAACACAGTTGTATTTTGTTTCTGACAGGTGCCTTTCCACACTGAGCAGATGGTGCCTTATTTGGCTACTGAATCAAAGAAAGATATTAAAAGCTTAAATGTCTAAAAATAAAAAAAATATTTAAATCAAATATTTGTTGAGTTGATTTCAATTTGGAGCTAACAAATACCTTTTCTGGAAACTTTCTTTCCTTGACAATGTAAACAGGATCCTAAGGGAAGGCCAGAGCTGCTTCAAACATTGCACTCTCAGTTCCGAAGGATGGTGGAAAAGGTGGACTGCTCTGTGAGCTAGAAAACTTGTTAACTTCATTAAATATTACAAAGGGGATTCCATTTCACAGTAGGCTGAGATGCCGAAGTTTGGAGACCCCTAGGAGTGGAGGAGACATTAGAATGGAACCCAAATTACCAATAATGATGTTTACCATTAATTAAGCTCCTCTCTGTGCCAGGCACAGGATGAATCCCTTCTACCCACTAGCTTCTTTAGCCATTACGACTCCCATGCATAGGGTGAGCATTTTTTCTATTCTTTGGATGAGGAAACAGGTGCAAGTGAAACAGGGAAGGGGGCAGGGCACAACCTTCAAAAGAATGGCACAGTCCGAGGACATGACATAAACTTATCAGAACTAAATAGGTTCAAGATGGTGGATTTGTCAACTTCCACTAAACCTGGAGCCTCAGTATGCATTCACTGTAACATGTCAGCAAGCTAAATGGCACCCTCACAGGTGCCATGACAATTTCCAGGCAGACCTTAAAGGTCAAAAAGTGGCTGATGGCCCAATTCCTGGGAATCTCCACCCTCTTCCCCAAAAGAGCTGAAACACTTCTCCCACACATTAGCCTATGAAATTAGGCTAATAAAAGCTAACCACACCATATTTCAAGGCCACTCTTGTCTTCTGAGATGATTCACACCCTCTGTGCGGAATGTGTTCCTCTCTAAATACATCTACTCTGGCTCCCCTGGTGGCTCAGACGGTAAAGCGTCTGCCTACAGTAGACCCGGGTTCGATCCCTGGGTTGGGAAGATCCCCTGGGGAAGGAAATGGCAACCCACTCCAGTATTCACACCTAGAAAATGCCATGGACCGAGCAGTCTGGTGGGCTACAGTCCATGGGGTCGCAAAGAGTTAGACATGACTGAGCAACTTCACTTCACTTCACCTATTACTTTGTCTCTCATTGAATTCTTTCTGCCATGAGACATCAAGAATCTGATCTTCTTTAAGTCTTAAAACCAGATGTGTGATCTCAGTTGGAAGATCATGGATTTTGGCTGGATTTGAGCCCCCGCACATGAGTTCAAGTCCTAATCTGAGATGAATGGTCTCAATATCATTGACATTTGTCCTTTTGGTCATGTTGACTTCATGTGGCTGGTCTAATGATTGCTGCTGCTGCTGCTAAGTCACTTCAGTCATGTCCGACTCTGTGCGACCCCATAGACGGCAGCCCACCAGACTCCCCTGTCCCTGGGATTCTCCAGGCAAGCACACTGGAGTGGGTTGCCATTTCCTTCTCCAATGCGTGAAAGTGAAAAGTGGAAGTGAAGTCGCTCAGTCGTGTCCGACTCTTAGCGACCCTGTGGACTGACTGCAGCCTACCAGGCTCCTCCGTCCATGGGATTTTCCAGGCAGGAGTACTGGAGTGGGGTGCCATTGCCTTCTGTGGGTCTAATGATTAAATTGACACAAGACAGATTAACAGGAGAAAAATATTAATTCATATGTACAGAGGTCAGAAATGAGACCTCCAAAGTGAACAAAGCAGGATATTTATGCAATATCATTTTTGGTTCATTGTGGGGGCTTCCCTGGTGGCTCAGATGTTAAAGGATCTGTCTGCAGTGCAGGAGACCCTGGTTCGAACCCTGGGTCAGGAAGATCCCCTGGATAAGAAAATGACAACCCTCTCCAGTATTCTTCCCTGGAAAATCCCATGGACTGAGGAGCATGGTGGGCTACAGTCCATGGGGTCACAAAGAGTCAGACATGAGACATGACTCAGCGACTAAACAACAGCAACAACAGTGAAACAAAGAGGCTTGGGCTTGGAGTAACAGATGAATGAAGAAGTGACAATATTTGTTTATGCAGTTTTATTAGCCTTGACTTTCCTAACTCTGCTGATAAGGGTGCTCTCTCTCCTCCTGGTAGAAGGAGGATAGCTTAACATGGGAGATTTATTTCCCACTATCAAGGAGAGATGGGATGTTAGGTTTTTGTAAATATCATTTTTTTCCCCACCAGCTGTTTCCTAAGCAAACTTAATTCAAAATAATCAAGAAGCCATTGTGGCGTATCTTGGGGCAGGCTACTCTGAGCACCAACAGTGACCATTCTTGTGTTTGGGAAATCTTCTACTTAAAAAGAGGCAGGACCAGCTCCTGCTATAAAAGCTGGAAAGGCCAGACGCTCATTTTCTCGGAGTCCCTTGCAGTTAGGGCGAGGTCACATGACCTAGGCTCTGCTAATCAGACACTCCTGCCACAGACTTCAAATCCAGAGTTGGCAACATCAACGGATAGGAACTGTGCAGAATCTGCTCCGGTGGTAGGTGTTGGCACCCTACACTTCAAGGGGCAGCCACATCAGGAATTCGAGCTGCCACATCGGGCATTCTTTTCTTTTTTAATTTTTCTTTTTTTTTCTTTGTTTCATTAATTAATTAGTTTTATTTTGGGCTGTGCTGGGTCTTCGTTGCTGCGTGTGGGCTTTCTCTCATTGCAGTGATCGGGAGCGCCTTTTCGTTGTGGTCACGGGCTCCTCCTTGTGGTTTCTCTTGCTGCGGAGCATGGACTCGTCTAGGCGCACAGGCTTCAGTACTTGTGGTGCGCGGGCTTAGCTGGCTCAAGGCATGTGGAATCTTAGTTCCCGGAACGGGGATCGAACCCATGTTCCCTGCATGGAATCCCCTGAACAGGCAGATTCTCCATCACTGGACCACCGGGAAAGTCCCAGGGGGCATCCTGGAGTCCAGCCCCACTGCCCGTTGGAGTTGGCTGTGTGAGCTCTACCTGACAACCACAGCCGTGGGATCTGTCCCAAACTGGTTCTATGGTGTAATTTTAAGCATCATACCTGGCATCATACCTCTGAGCCTGCTTCTGGCCTTCTAGGAATTCTAGCAACTACCTGATTCCTTTTTCTGCTCAAGAGTCACTTCCTGCTGCTTGTAGCTAAGTGCCGTGTGGCTGTGGGGGGCTCACGTCTGTGCCCACCCACGTGGTAAGTGACTGGCCCTAGAACCCAGGTCCTCAGAGCTCTCTCTCTTTCCATGCAGATGCTTCCAGGTGTGTGAGCAAAGGATCCCAAAGTGCCATGAGACTATAGAGGAGGTAGAGTTACCGTCAATTCCTCTTAACCCAGAGACTGTGTGACTTTTTGAATGCTATTGAGGGAGTATTTTAAAAGTACATGGAA